GAGGCGCGCGGGCGACAGAGGACTGCAGCGACTTAGCGCTGTGAGCCGCCGGGGTTGTTGAAAAGTTCGCGAACCCGCGAAGAAGCGGGCTACCTGTAAGGCCTTGCAAAAGAATCGGGCCGGAAAACGTGTGAAACCTTACAGATAATCGGCTAGAATCAGGTGGTTCCTACGCTCATCATTGTCGGTGGGCAGAGAATGAAGATGTTCCCACGCAAGCTGGAACGCCAGGATGCTATACAGTGGGTCCAGTCGGTGTATTCCCCGACTCGTGCATACTGACCTGGACTACAACCAGTCCCGCCCTCGTCACGTTTGCTGAAGATGGATCTTCCGCGTAGATGCGCACTGTGCTCTCGCGGACGGCTATTCTCCTCTACTATGAGACTTCCACGACTGCTCGTTTGATGTACCTACTGAACGCTTTGTATACCCTGCTCTATTATGATTGTACCTATATCCATCTCGATATCCATCTGTCTGACCGTACCTACTATTTGAGAGTGCAAGCGAACGATCGGTCCGAAGGCCGGACATCTGTACATCCGCGCCGGCGCTATGTGCTCTAGAGTTGCGTTCAGACCACCATCATGCCTACCAGTCAATTCCATGTTGCTTTCATCGCCACCCACCACCGCTCGCCCGGCCTACGCCCGTAACATGGAGAACGCCTGTAATGCTGCCTACCCATGCGTCATCGACGGTCGTCCACCATAACCAGGCTCCGGTCGTGCAACCAGCGTGGGACTTACTATACACTCCGACCCAAATACGCTGCTTCGACGGATGAGGCCTGAGGGTCCAATGGCGCCTCTGTCGTCTTCAAAGCCTTTTGTGTCTCTATCGGGCGTAGTCCTTGTGCCTCACGAGCTATAAAGCACCTGACGGGCCACCGGCGCGCTGCCTTCTTCACCCCGTTTCTCACGCTACGGCTTCCACCTCCGAGACTACAATCCGAAGAACATGTCTTCTCACACGCAGTTACCAGCCACTGGTTCTACTGTCGGGAACGTGCGCGGTGGAGACAAGCCCGTCGCTCGATCGACCCTTCTGAACACGAATGCCCAGGAACAAGTATCGCCGTCGACGGATAGTGGTGAGTTCATACCTTATGTATTTGGTTTGCAGAATACCACTGAGTCTTGGCTGTTTAGGTGCTACATTGGCAGCTATCGAAATCTACAATATCTTCGGCGGCAAAGTTCCCGAGACTCGGTGGCGTACGGAAGGCAATGACGCCGTGGAAAGGAGTGGCGATGCCGGGAAGGATGATGGCGAAGGAGATAGGTTCGGCAATGGCAACGGCGCCAACAAGGCTGACAGCACCACCGGCCACGATGTTACAGCTCGAGGCGCGCCTGCAGGAAAGCCCAGGTTCACTGTCGATCTGTACGTCCCGTCAGACCTGCCTTCGTTCGGTGAACTCAGATCTAACTCCGTGCTTAGCCCAGATGAAGACGAACCTTGAACTCGGATGATAACATGAAACGAATATGCCTTGTGTATTCTTGCACGGTACTTAGAAGTAGAATGAACGCGTTCGAGGGGGCCATCGCCGGACGCGCATCAGCGTGCAATTATTGTGCGCCTCGAACATGAGCGCACTGTACGAGGTATGGGCTTGTTCACGTTATCATCAAGGCAGTAGCATTTCGGGTCCTCGAATGCTACTTATGAATTGCCTGCGTTACGCACGATCGCGACCGCTACCCTGCGAAACTCAGTGGACGCGCCCACGCGGCCTTCTCGGCTTGGGAGTGCACCGCCGCCATCACCGTCCCCAACGAACACCTGTCGACTGGCTTCCTATTCTTTCTACATCTCACTGGCTCTAAGCTAGCGGACGCCCAGAACTCACACTGAACCCTTGTGTTTTCTCGATTCTTGCTCTCAGCGTTCTAGGGCTGTGTAGACGCGATTGTTCGGTTGTCTGCTAAACAACAGCCTTGTCTGTTCACTGTGAACAATGCATCGATATTTAGCGATGCCAGCGTTCGTCGTGGGAAGAATCCTGCCTGCTAATGTGACTTTCGCTGACCTCAGCTTCTTCGCACCGTATCCGCGATTCACCAGGCAGGAGTTGCGACCAAGTCCGCCTTCAGACCAGGTGTCGAGGCACTCGGCTGTTTGTTGCTCCTCCAGGCGCGTGCATGATGCCCTTGAGTCTCTATTGGTCGCGAGAAGCCGGAGGGCACCGCCCTCTGCGCTGCATTGATCAGTGGTTTGTCTTCGTTCTGACTCAATGTCAATGTCGAAGCTCGTGTCAGTGGCCACCTTGTTTGCCGATGAATACGGGAAGGCCTTGTTTCCAGCATACATATAAGCCAGTCTACATCTGCAAGTGTGTCCCAACATCCCCTTTTCGTCGTCTCACCACCCTCGCCCTACTCATCATCCCCAACCCAAGCCTCATCATCACCGAACGATGTCTTCACCGTCACATGGACCATCAGCTTCGTCTACCGAGATGGCTGTACGGCGTCGTCAACGCCAGGCCACGAGCAGAGGTGTACCAATCACGAAGTGCTGGGCTATGCGCTACCCTGAAGACATAGGAAAGCCCAATAGCGAGACGAGTATACAATATAACGACCCTCCAGCCGTCGCGGAAAGACTCGCGGCGCTGGCGAGACGCTCGTCGTCCCCCGAGCCCGAACGAACGGATACACCACCAGCTTCTCCGCCGCCTGAGGCGGTCTTGATCAAGCGTGTCCCTCCCAAGCGCGCTGAAGGAGACCAGCTACAGCGATTGTCTGGTCAAAAGCGTCTTATCCGTGAGGTTCTCGATGGCCAGGAAGACAAGGGAGACGAGCCACCACCGAAGAGACGCCGTCCGGGTGAGCTCATGCTTCAACATAATCTCGCATGTAAACCTAACCTTATAGCTCCAGCCTCTCCTCAGAAAGATTAGAGGTACAAACCACGCACATATGGTATGCGTCAGGTACCAAAACCTGTTTATAGCTAGCAGTCTATCTCATACGGACCCTTGATGATGGCGGTATCCCACTTGACGGTTCTGTGGACCTTGTGTCGAATGAACGAACGTATGTATTTGGGCGTCGATTGACTATGCGTTGAGAGTGTACACGTACAAGTGGACAGACAGTGCGGGGTATTACAGTGAGAACACATTACGCCTGCAGCGCGCAAGCGGTGTGGATGCAGTTGAAAGAGAGCTATGCTATTAAGTAGCGTATGCGAGTCTCAAGAAATGCAAGCAGTCAGAATATGGTATACTTTGCAGCCCAATTCACATCGCCCCCAGGGCTCAGAATTCATACGGCGGCGGTGCCTCCCACGGCTCTCCACCTGGCATTGACCTCGTCTTCTCCACCCGTCCTTTCCTCTCCCTCTCCCTCTCGCCCATACCCAGGTCGAAAGCACTCCTGACATTTCTCAACTTCCTTTCCCTCTCCATCTCGCGCTGTAGCCCGTCTCCCTGCGCAGCCATCACTGCACCCTGAGCACCGGCGAAATATTCACCGGTGCGCGCGGGCGCTGATGGCGGCGGCACAGGCAGCGGGCGCAATGGGCTCCCAGGCGCTGATAATCGCGACCGGGGGCTATTGAGACTGACAGGGCTTGCGGTCGGCACGATGTCGGCCGGTGTCGGTGGAACGATGCTTACAGGCGGCACCATGTGCCAGGACGATGCGCGCGTGTGCACGGGAGGCGGAACAGGCGGGATGGATATGCGCGGCGATGCTGGCGAAGATGTGTGCGTGCTTGAGGACGTACGCGAACGTACAGGGGCACGTGGACCGGCTGGGGGACGAGGTATTGATGATGAACGTGGAGAGGATGACGAGCGCGGAAGGGATGCAGAGCGCGGCGCAGATTGCACACGAGCACGCGCACGCACAGAGGGCGCCATATGCGGGATGTACGGCTCCAGTGCAGGCTTGTAGTCTTTGGGTGACGGAGTCTCCGTGCGCGAGCTGCTCGCGTCGGATTGGGCACTAGGGCTGCTTTGTACATTCGCGGCGCTAATATCCAACACGATGGTTGTCGTAGTTGGCGAACGTTTCCGATGTGGACGGACTTCGGCAGGACAAGGCTTGAGCTCGACAAATTCGGACGCAAGGTCGAATTCGTCGGCATGATGGGGTTGCGGGAGGCGGCATGCACTCGCGAGCCTCGAGACGGTGCCGTGAATGTGCGTTGGCGAAGGAAGCTTCGACGAGCTAGGTAGCGGTGAAGCTTCGCGGTCGGTACGGTCCGACCGACGTGCGGCGCGGCGACAAAACAAGTAAACTAATAGTTGGTCAGACTCAATACGTGATTAAAGCGCGGGGGACGTACTGGAGGGCATTGTGCGTCTGAACACTGGACGGCGCGACAGTGTAACCTCCCGGCAGTGAGATGGTAGTGGCAGACAGAGCCCGAGGTGGCTCGCAATCTCAACAGGTTGATTAAGTATGAGTCTGTAGTAAGCGTATCGGTATCGACGGAACCGGAACCGAAAGATGAGTAGCGCGGGAAGCGTAGTCCGCGAGTTGGATAGAGTGCAAAACGGGAAGCAGTCTGTAGCAGCCGTGCCCGAGCGCCAGCCGAGACGAGGAGGACGAATCCGGGGAATCCAAGCCGAGGAACGCGCTGGCAACCCACTCGTTCTTATATACGCGCTGCGTATGCGCGCACTGATATAACGGTCCGTGCCATCTCCAGGTGTTCGCTTAGATGCGCACAGACATTAGACTACAACGACGACTTCTTGGGCGCTCGGAAGAAGCACGGCCGGCGAGCGTCGTAACTGGATCGGAAACGAGTCAGATCGTTCCCACGTTTCCAAGCCCAGCGTACCCGCTCATGTCGTGGAAAAGTCGTATTGGGATCCACGACACTTGGCGTATACTTACAGCTGTGTCTTTTTCATGATCAATATGAGGCAACTGGCGTTACTTCTGCACTCGTCTGTAGCTCGTTATCGGCTCGAACGGCTTTTCCGACGGTTTGGAAGCCAGCTGGAGGGCATGCAGGCCCGAAGTCCTTCGAATTTGCAACTTCCAAGCGACGAGCGCGGAGTTTCGGGCGCCTCGTTGTACACTCGTGCAGCAACAAAGGGTGATGCGCCCACCTGCGAGTCTGCGCGCGGTCGGCAGGGAGTCCTCGGCGCTATGTTTGGCGGTCCGGGGAAGGGCTCGGGGACCACGGGATGGACATTCCGAGCGGGTTTGAGGCGCCTGTGGCTGTTTCGCCGGTACGGTTAGTCGAGATATGACCTAGAGATAATCGATGCGCAGGAGATACAGCAGATCGTTGACTTGGCCATTGCAAAGAACTTGGCTGGCGACCGCAAAGGACTTCTGCACAGTGTCTGGGCTCCTCTTGCGTGTCAGCGCTGCTTACGCTCTCGAGCTGCATTCGAGGATAGAGCGCAGCGAACCCATGCGTCATATCGCAGCAAGCTCTCTGACGTCGACGCAATAAAAGCAGGTACCTCTGTACGACATCTCATAACAGAATATGAAAGCTGGAGACACGAGGCTCGCACTGACAGAAAGACATCACGAAGGCGTGATGGATTCTCGGAGATTGTGCTCTATCGCCGTGGGGAGACATAGATATGAATGCTTAAGATCGCTGAAGTCCGAGAGTACAATTGATAGTATACCCACATATAGCGCAACACATGAACTCGGAAGACTGATAAACGTTGCAATAGACGAGGGCGGATAGCATCTCGATGAAAGTTCTCGGATGCTTCGGACTACTCACGGAGACGAGCGAGTACCCCAGGCGTCATAGGTAGCGTATTGTAGGCTCTGACGTCTGTTCCGATGAGTTGTACGCGGAGGTACACCGAGCCGTAGCCGAACTGCGTGATGTCCTTCCATCCGATGATCGTATGTCCTTCGGGATCTCGTATCGGCGGCACGCGCGTACGATTGGAGCAGTATGACCCAGATGATATCTTCGAGTATGTATATTGCTGTCCATAGTCAAGATCACACCGGTCGTAGGCGGTGTGAGTAGAAAGGAAAGGACGACTCATGTCGAGAGTGGTGTCTTCGGCGGAAGGATCTCCGTCTTGAGAACACGATTGGCCTTGCTCTTGGGTACAGGAGCTACAGGAGGAGTTCGATCAGCGAAAGAGCCGTCCTACGAGGAAGAAGCATACCATTCGCGTTCTCAGTGATGTAGAACCTCCGCAAAGCCATGATGGCCTCTTCACGCAGCAATCCGCCCGTCGCAGGAAAAGCCGGAAGCTTGGGGTGTGGTATCCTACGCAATGCACCCTCAGTCAAAGTCCCAGACGCATTGCCAAATACGAGCACTCACGCCGAATTCACGCCCAACACGCTCCCGCAACCGCCGAAGCGCTCATTTCCCGCACCGAAAAAGCACCGTTCAAGGCCGGCCTGACGCAGTGCGCTTGCACACATCATACACGGCTCGACTGTGACATACAGAGTCGTTCTTGCCAGAGGACGCGCTCGTGCTTCACGATCTTGCGCCGTCAAGTTCGGGTCGGCCAGGATAGCATCGATGGCTTCAAGCTCTGCGTGTCGCGTCGCCTGTAGATATTTAGAGTCCGTTACTCGGGCAGCCTATGAGATCAAAAGCTGTCGTACATTACGCAGTTCATTGGTTCGATTGCGCGCGCGTGCAATTATCGTGCCATCGCGCACGAATACGCATCCAACAGGTACTTCTTGCGCATTGAAAGCCTCTTCTGCCTGACGAGGGTGGCTCAGAGTCTTGTCGAAGTATCACAGGTAACAGGCTCAGACTTGGTCCAGAGCTGCACGCATCCACGAGAGATGAACGTCCAGATCATCTTCCGTAGTTGGTTCGGTTGGCGCCATAGACGAGACCGCCATAGATGGCACCGCAAGAGCAGAACTGTCTTCCATTTCTTGCGTTACAAGTGGCAACCCGACGATGAGTACACTTTATGTATATGAGATGGCTACAGTTGTCGTATTGCCCACATGGGCCACGATAAAGGTCGGCTGGAAATCGTAGTGGTGGTTGAAGTTCAGGCGGCGATGACCGCGAAGAGCGCGGTATCTGCGCCGGCAACTGCCGGTGAAGTTCTGTAGGTAAATTGTACATGTCTATACTGCGTTGAATATGCAGTTCACCGCCATGCAAACGCCTTATCATCCCACCATATTGGGTCCGGACCAGATCCAATGGCAAGCAGCAAGCGTACAATACAAGCAGTAACTCAAAATACACAAGAAATCACAAGCAGTCAGGTATGATCCAGTCCATCCAACCTAGCTCCCAGAACTCGCCCCGGATCCCATCTCGCCAGCCAACGCCGGATCCAGCGCGTACGCAGTCGCCGGTGTCGTGGGCGGCGGCGGCGGCGATGTCGCGGGTGCAGCAGCCACCACCCCACCGGCCATCGCCACTCCCGATCCTCTTCCTCCCGCGCTGCTCGTCCCTCTGCTCGAGCTTGACGCACCCGTTCCAGACCTCGATCCACCCGTCCCACTCCCCAACGCAACCTGCCCATAAGTCCACGACCCACTATCCAGCGTCCCGGCCCTATACGGGCCCGACACGCGCGCCGCCCCCTGCATCCTCGCCACGTCCGCGGGCGTCAGCCCGGCCGCCGCGAGCTTCTGGCGCGCGAGCCAGTCCGCCATGTGCGGCGACATCGGGAGGGGCGCGGGGGGCGGCGG